ATGAAATGGAGACTCATGGACTAGAGGATGAAATGGAGACTCCCCAGCTTCCCTGGCAGAAATACTATGTTAAGAAATCTCTCACAATTATGCAGCCATAGCAGGCAGGAGGGAAGGAGGCGAATACCTCCAGCACCAGAGACTTGTAGAGGAAGAGTCAAACTTTGGGGACTCACCTGTGCACCAGAGGGCCAAGGCAGCAGGAGGCAAGAAGCCAGGGCGAGCTGGGCTCCTCCATGCCTGGCAGAAGATGAGTTGCAGAGGCGAGAGGTGGGCAAGCAGAAGAGGCACTCAGCCAGCTGCACAAGCTGCGTGCAAAGAAACTCCCACCGCCCCAAGCTTCAGGGCTGCCTCGTTAAAGGAGTGCGGAGGCCAGACTCGCAAATGAGAAAAAGCAAGCTCAGGGTTCGTGGGTTGCATTTTGGGCTGTGGAAGAGGAACCGGCTCCATTCCTGGAGTTCTCTTGAGTTCCTGCGTTTTTGGTTTTGCTTTTTGCCAATCCGCCTCCCAAGACTGCTCCAGGTTCTCCGGCCTGAGGGCTGCTGGGGCTTCCCGCAGTTCGGCCCCATTATATCCTATAGGACATTGAAGTCAATGGCGAAAACATAGGGTGTATTCTGGGGGCTGGAGGGGAGGGGGTTTGAGGGAGAGGCTCCAGAATTGCAGGGTAGCTGCTGGAGCCTCTCCCCAAGATACCCACCATGTTTCAGGAACATTGAACCAGGGGGTCCAATTCTACAGGCCCCCAAACAGGTTGCCCCATCCCCTCCATTGTTCTCTATGGTGGGAAAAAGTTACTTTTTTCCCACCATAGAGAACAATGGAGGGAATAGGCCATCAGCGCCTACAGCAGAAGAGCCACACTCAAGGGGCCAAAGAGCCGCATGTGGCTCAAGAGCTGCAGTTTGCCTACCACCGTGGTAGGGAACGGCGGGGGTGGGTGGGTTTCCAGGCCACAGGGATCCTAGCTAAATCTCATCATCACACCCATGAAGGTGTGAAGGAGGAGCAAAATGGGGAAGAGCAAGGGTACGGATGGCAGCAGCAAGGAGGGCGTGGATGGGGGTGGTGTGGATGCCAGTCCTGTCCTGGTGTGTGTGGGGGGCTCTGTTTTCACACCCCCATCTGGAGGCAGCCAGAGAGAGCTTTGAACTAGTTTGACAAATGCTGGATGGAACCCTCTGCATGTCTTACAGAGCCTCCCTGTCTTGTGGAGCTGGAGAGAATTCAGATCCAGGAAGCAGCAAAAAAGAAACCTGGTGAGTCATGAAATATGAACAGTGGAGATAAATATTTGGTGATAATTTTTTCAGCGAAAGGGAAGGATTTCTTGTTTTCCTATGACATTTTGAAGGGCTGCTACAGGTCTTAGCACCACCACAGTTGCCTCTCCATTTTAGAAATCTTGGGTTAATTACATATTAAATATGACTCATGTTCGTATTTATTCATAATAAGTCATTTCAATAATCCATGTAACTGCCCTGACCTGGATTGCCCAGGCAAGTTCGATCTTGTCAGATCTCAGAAGCTAAGCAGGGCTGACTGTGGTTTGTACTTGGATGGGAGATTTCCCTGGGATACCAAGTCAAGAGGACAGAGGCAGGCTTCATTCAGCCACCTCTCTGAATATCCTCCAGGCCCACAGTATGGGTCAGTCACCAGAGGTCAACATGGCTGCCAGGTGCAGATACAAGTACACACAGAGAAAATACCAAAAAATAATACCCCCCAAATAATCCATGTAACCCTCCTGTAACATAGCCCAGTATAATTTTTCCCGTATTGCAGATAGTGGGTCAAAGATTAACAGTAGCAACTTAACCTACATTGATGGGCGAGGACCGAAGGAGTATATTACTAAGGAGACCTGTGATTGAGGTCCTCAGTGACTCCGGTGCTGGGGGAGGGGCTTTAGATCCCTTCCCTTTGTACTGTGGGCAGACTTGGAGCACCCCAATGCAACAATTCATTGTTCAGGGAAGCAGGAAGGGAGAGGGTTGAACTGGATGTTTGTGTGTATGTCTCAGCGATGCTGAGTTTTTACACAACTATTGTTACCAAGAAAAATACAACTGTATGTGGACTTTCCCACTGCCCTTTTTTAAATGCTTATATGTGAAGGCACTCCATGAGATCAGATCATATTTAACCAGGTACAGAAGATTAGGTTTTTAAGTAGTTCAAAACATGATTCAACATAAATACTGCTTGGCTAAATTATTCCTTAAAATTGGAGATATTTTCTTATTTGCCTTTAAACTCTCAATTACAGTGTAGTTCATTACAGTGTTGTTGTGTTCCCTCTAAGTAGATCTTAACTGGCCCCAGTTCCGGTGGCACCCTGTTTGTGATGGTGTTTTTCCCACAGGGGTTTTCATTCCCAGCTGCGATGAGGATGGCTACTACCGGAAGATGCAGTGTGATCCAGGCAGTGGAGAGTGTTGGTGTGTTGACCATCTTGGCATGGAGCTAACAGGAACACGGATGCATGGGACCCCAGATTGTGGTAAGGAAAAGGCAGAGAGAAGGAAGGGATGACAGGTGCTTTCACAGGCCATGGGGAAAAGCAAAAACAAGGCAGTGGAAGGAAAGGCACGGAAACGATCCGTTCCTTTTGCTGTAAGTTTAGCTACAAGAATTTGCTGAAACAACCAATCACTGTTTTGTTTTGTGTTATACTCCGTCCTTTTCAGTGGGATTGTGGCTTAGTGAGAGAGCATTTGCTTTGTGTGTGGAAGGCTGCAGGTTCAGTCTGGTAGTGGAAGATTCTGGAGAGATGCTGCCATTTAGAGTCGACAGCACTGACCTTGATAGACCACTGGCTGAACTCAGTGTAAGGCGGCTTCCTGTGTTCTGTGGCCAACATGAAATTCGAGGCAACCTTATAGCCTATGATTCCTTTGGGAGACAGAGCTCTAGAGACTCTGTGGCATCTTTGTGACCTGCTTGTTTTCAAAGTGGAGGATTAGCAGAGGTTGCGGAGGCGCAGCAGGCATTGCTTGTTCCTAAAAGAGCCCCAGCCACCTAGAATCCACAAAGCTCTTCCTCCCCATAATTGTTAGCCATATCAGGCAAAACTTAGTTTCATCCTAGTGTGGGATTGCGACTGGAAAAAAAGTAAGTTAATATTTTCCTAGCAATAAAAATCTCTCTCTCTCTCTCTCCCCCCCCTTCCCCCCATTGCTGCAGATGACATAGTTGGGTTCTCAGGGGACTTTGGGAGTGGTGTTGGATGGGAAGACGAGGAAGAGAAAGAGGTGGAAGAAACTGGCGAGGAGGCCGAAGAAGAGGAGGGAGAGGCAGGGGAGGCCGATGATGGAGGCTACATCTGGTAGAAGTGGTGACAAGCACAGTTTGGTCGGGATGCTGGCTGAAGGGCTGGGAGACAGCAGTCAAAACTCAAGGGAGAGGAACAGCTTAACAAGATGATCAGGAAACACAGTTGAATGTAACTCACTATGGCAGAACATGTTGTGTGAGAGGGATGTGTGCGTGTGTATCTATGTCTGTGTTTGTGGCAGGATGAGTCAGTTCTCTCAAAGTGGCCGTGGGGACGATCTGCTTTCTCCCAGCTTAGCAGAGATCAAAGCTTTTGCAAAGCAAATTGGGGGGGGCAGTATTCTGCACTCAAGGTCAGGTGGTCTTAAACTTCATTTTATTTTTGAATTGTTGATGACAGATTTCAGCTCCTAGCCAGATGTGAAAAACACATACCTGCCTCCCTCATATCTCTAGCTGTGGTATACCTTAGCAATATCCTCCAGTAACTGATGCACTGTTAGATATAAATACCCTGGTGTGACCTTTTGCAGTCTCACCGTGCAGACAGTCAGGAGGTCTGCCAGGAGTTCCTGAGCTTTCATTACAGCGGAAGAAGCGAGATCACCAGGAATTGACTGGTAAGACTAGGAACAACCCTTTTCTCTTTTGACTAAATGTTAGATCAAGGACTGTATTGTGCACAGCCAGATGGCGCATCACTGGCTCCAAATTTTGCTCAACAGCCATCATATCAAAGGTCTTTTAAAGTACCTGGAGGGGATTTCAAGATCTTGGTCTTCCTGGCATACTTCATGTGCATCCTGGTGTGGAGTTAATTGCTGGCTCATGATCTCCTTTGATGAGCTCACACTTGCTCATTAGAGTGCTCTGGGGAAGGACTTTTCCATCTTCTTTCCGACTTCTCTCCAATTGCTTGTTCATTTAACTGAGGGGTGTCAGCTGCAGCTGTGGAATGAAGGGTCTCCTTATTCACCTCTGAATGCACATTTTGCTGATCGAGAGACTGAGGAGTTCTGACACAGAGCTGGCTACAGTCATTAGTTAAGTGAATAAGATCATTGGTGGTGGAGGACCAGTCAGCAGAGCAGATGGGTAGCTGGACACGAAGGCCGTCCGTAACCAGAAATGACATCGCTGTAATAGAAGCAAAACCATCACCCCCCGCTGACAGCACAGTAGCAGCACCAGAATTGTACTGTGTGTCTGCAGTTGGTTGATTTGTTTCTAGCTAGAGATACTTGGTAGACACAATTACTCTCCTTTGGTGTCCGTTTTCCAGTTTGGTGGAATTAATGCTGTCCTTCTGGACAGCCTGTTTCATTGAAGCCACCTTGGCAAATTAAACTCTCATTTGGGAGGACTTGCTTCCACACTTTCGCCACATTCTGATACGCTCACTGCTTTGCGGAAGGGTGTGTTGTCACGACTGTATGATTGCAACCATCTGTGTGTGTGCGCTTGCTGACATGTATGCCCTAGTGTGTAAACCGATGGTGTGTGCTTATGTGCGCGCTGTGCACGTGCGTGTGTACGTGGAGAATGGGGGTGGGCAGCTTGGCTTACATTGAGCATTCTAGAGCTTAGCAAAACTCGAGTTTCTGGGACTGCCATTTAGGCTTGGTGTGCCCCACTGCATCTCCTTAAAAGTAAACAAAAAATACTCATTTCTTCTGAGCAAGCTAATCCACACTGTAAACCCAGCCACTGGCTTGCAGCGGGACCATAATCGAGAACTCTACGTAGCCCAGCTGTGATAATAAATGCGCCTTGCTGTGTTAAAGTCTCCACCTGCCTTCTTGCCCGGGCTTACTCTTCCTATAGGTCTCTGTCTAAAGACACACACATACATTTTGCCTCCCTCTTTTATTCAGCTACAGCTCCTGCAGACAGAATAATAGACTGTGCCCAAGGAATACTCAAATGTGTCACTACTGGAAGCTAGTCAATGCCCTACGGGAATTTTTTCTCCCTCCAAGGGACCGTGGTTTTATATCATTCTTCTCTTCCCTGTTTCCTACTAAGAGTCAGTTAGCAACCTTTTACTATGTACTCAGCCTTTGATTTCTGGAACCCCCTCTTGGAAATCGCCACCTCTTTTCTTTCAGTGTTGCCTTTGGGCTTTTCCTCTTTGATCTGCATCCCACCTGTGTGTCTGGTACTACTGGGTTTGGTTTCCCAGTTATGCATGTTTTAATAACCTGTAAATACATTTTTGAATCAGAGAACCCAATTCTGCCCTATTTGGAGCAGCATCCTGAAACTTAGTGCAAAGGAAGCAAATTGACTAAGAGATCCGGAAAATATGGGCACAAGTGTTTGTTTTGGCGGCATTCTTTAAAAAAAATCCTCTTACTACATTCAAAGACATGGAAACAGATAATATTCAGTGCATTCATTTTTTATGCAACTTCTGACGTATAAAACTATGTTGCATCTTTAACTCATAGAAATCAAGACATTATCAAACCTTTGGTTTTTTGATATTTCAGTTAGGCTCTCTATCTGATCAATTTATACAAGTCCTTCAGTCTTTCTATCCAGTTCCCCTTCAGTGGTACTGCCTGTTTTTGCCAATATCGTGCAAAGACCAATGGTGCAGCTGTAATAGCATTTAGAACCAATTCATGTAATCTCTCTAGTACAAAGTCTGCATAATTAAATAATAATGTACATGGAACTACCTGACCTGTCCGTAAAGTAATTTACCTGTGATACCATATCCCAATATTCTTGAGCATGACCGCCACATGTGGGAAAATGTAATCTTTCCTTCTTCACAATACAATACTGTACTGTTTTGGCTGCATGAACACCCCCCGTGATTTATAATTGCTTTTCCTTCCTTCAGTTTCGTTGACTCTGTGCCTGGAGAGGGACAGTCTCCCCCCACACACACACACACACCCAAGGAGTTGAAGATGGTGTGTGGATGCCTTGTGGCCCATCATCCCACTCTGCTCAAACGTTTGGCTGGGTTTTTTAGGCAGAATCCAGTCAACCCTTTGGGAAAAGAAAAAATGTACAGAACAAAAGGAATGGGCACAGCACAGGCAGAAGCATGCCATGTCCAACTCTCTCAAAAACAAACTTCTGCCTCTGGCATGGGGCAGGAGACTTCAGGGAGATTTTGATGGGCTTGCATTTGGTTCCTCTTCCCACTGGTGCTTCTCATCAAACAGATTTTTGAAACGTATATCAAGTCCAGTCTGGGGAGAAGCGATAGTAGTCAGAAGAAATGCAGATACACGGGAAGAAGCAAAACCACTCTGAAATGATTAGTTGCCTCCTGTCTTAGCCAAAATTAAGAGGGGCTTGCTGTAACATCTGTTCCACTTACAGATACTATTCTGTCACAGATTTTTTTCCCCTTCTTTGGTGGCCAAAGCAGAACAGAATTCATCCTAAATAAGCTCCAAGGGAGAAACTCTAGCTAAAGATGTCCTGTCTTTACCCTGCTTGCCAAACAGCAGAGGCATAAGTAATTCTATAGGCGTAGGCACCCCCATCCTGACATTCCCAGCATTGGGCAATCAGTCTGTACTCTTATCCTCCATCATACGTCTGTTGTCAGACCCAGGATGAAGACTTGAGCTCAGCAAGGCTCAGCCACATCAAACTTTTTTGCACAGGCTCAGCCCAGGAACACATGGCCTAATACAGAAGACCCAGAGGGTCCTTGAGCATGTGCAGAGTGTGCCTCTCTCCACTGAATAACCAGAGGTGGGTCTCTCACATATATGAGGTCAGAAGGCAGACTTTGGGGGCCTGCTGGAATCCCAGGGCCTTCCCGTTCTGGAAATTAATCCCTTTCGAAGGATGTATGATGATTGACTTAGTCAACACAGCTTTTAAAATCTTCCTCCTTTTTCTCTGTGCCGGAAAGCTAGTTTTAATTTGTGAGCGTGGAAGCTGCATTTAAGACACACTCGCTGCCTTTCCCTTTTCCGAGCTTTGTTTTGCACTGCAGACTCCTCCCCTCGGTGCCGTGTTTCCAGCAAACTCTCTGACGAGCCTGGTGACTCCATGCCACACATATGGCTTTAATAAGGCTCTCCTCCCTCAAGGGAACAGGCCAGGATATCATCTCCCATCACTGTCTCCATATCAAGCATCAGTTTCCATCACCGTAGCGGCATTCATCGGGCATCTGTGACAGCCGCACCTGCTGTGTCTTCTTTGTGCTGGCAGAGAGGAAGGAGAGATAGGAGAGGATGCCTCTTATCATCCTATTAGCATCCCTCAGAGAAGGAGGAAACTGACCATTGGAGCCCAGATTGCATTGCCGCAAAGCGTTGAAAAGAACACAATAGACGCTCTGTCTTAAATGCGACACGTGCATTTAAATGAGCATTGTGCACACAAGGAACAGTGTTTCCTTTTTTCTTTTACTGTTGGCGACTGGTCCAACTGGCAAACCTAGATGGCACTTTTCATTGCTTATCTTCATGCATTTGTTTGTAGGTGTCCACATGAAAGTGTGCATGTGGGTATGTGTCTGCAAACACCTGTGCAAGCCATGCTTTTCGTGTGGGCATGTTGGCCCCAGAGCTGTGATTGGCTGCAGCTCGCTGTTGGCTTACTTTTGTGTAATGTGTGAAATGACTGTATGGATCAGAGCCTTGTAGTGTTCCAGCAGTTCATTTCCCACTCTCTTTGTTTGTATTCCAAAGATCAGAATTGCCTGATTCTGTTCTGTAGACTTTCTAATGGCAAAACTAGAAAACAGCTTGCTCAAACCTCAGAAGGTGGTATTTTGCCTTTGATGAGCACAGCATAAACGGAGAGAAGACAAAGAGCTATTCGATCAGTATAAAATTCACAGTGGTAGTTGTGTTTCTTCTTTTTTTGATGTGTGCAAGGATTTCCCTTCACTGATCTCCATTTTTTCCCAGTGTTGTCCAAGAACGTGAACCTTCCTTCCTTGCCTTAGGAAACTCAGAAAGGCTGCAGGGGAGGAATATCCTTGTATGGGGGGGGGAGGGAATTGCTGGTAGTTTCTGTGGTGTGATTCTAAAACTACAGCAAATCCTCCTGAATGCTGTATTCCCCAAAAAGGTGCTGAATCCTGTGCTCAGAAATTACTCGAGCTCATTTGAAAATGTAAACATTCTTGAAGCACTTTCTCAAAAGTTATCCATTGAGGCTG